TATTAAATTGTGGTTTGAGTGAAACACATTAGTCACATTATATTGTTTGTTGAAATATACCACCAGTTTCTTAAAACTCCTTCACTGCATGGCATTCTGAACTGTTTCTTTAAAATCAATATTAGTACAGAGTTTCAAAAGTTATTTTTTAAAAACACAGTATTATCAGTCATTGGAAGTGCTTTTTCTTATTTGCTTCTTGAACTTTGTATGTTATTTCAACTTTGGCTATTTCCTTGCTTGTTTTTTGGAAGGCATTTTATGATGCCTTGCAAGAGACACTAGAAAGGGATAGCTGACAAGGAAAAAATTAAAAATTGGATAAAAAGTAAATGAATAATGTCATATTACTAAAAAGATGAGAGGCTAATTTGTGCCGACTTTTTGCTAATTTTGTTCAAGCCTCAAAATGAGGAGCTGTCACCCGTTCTGTGTAGCACTGATGACAGTGCCAATGATCCATGAAATAAGCTGCCGCTGGCTTTGTTCTGATAAGAATGAACAAATCTGCACAATGTTCGGCTCCCAGAATCTCATTTTCATACTTGCATGCAGGCTAAAAGAAATAAGCTGTTTGCAGGCTTGATTAATCAGACATTGGAGGGGTTTTTGTCTCTTTGATCTCTTTCGTCTCCTAGGTAACTTGCTTGACATTAATGTTGAGCTTGAGTAAAGACAATCAAGAATTGTCGACCAAACTGATATAAAAATTAAAGACCTTAACACTTTAAGTACTCCAGTAATGGTTCCGCTTTACTTCAGAAAACATCTGTTTTCATTTAATTAAAGAACAAAAGAGAATGGCATAAATATTTTTCATAGAGACCTATTATTCCATAAAAAGTTAAAGTATGATAATTGGTATTTTTAAATGAGTGCCTTGAAAGTGTCCAAAAGGGAGGAAAACTTTATAAATCTGTAACAAGCTAGTAATTTTGAGAGAGTAAAATATATTCTGAGATGGATAAGAAATTTACAGTTATGCTAGAGTAAGCTGTTTGAATCAGATGCTTCAAATGATTATCAGCAAACTTTATAATGACAAGCTTTTGCAAGAAAAACTAACTTTATTTTGAAGTTTTTGTTTTTTAAAAATCTGTACTGTTACAAGGATGTGCCATTATATCTATTTTACAACCCAATATGATTTACGCACGCTAAACCTGTAAAATTGAAAGGAGTTAAAAAAATGTCGCCGTGCATTTGCTTGAGGTTATGCAGACGCTTTTACAAATCTTCCAAGTGGCTGTAAAGATGAATGCCTCAAGGGTCCAGCCAGGGCCCTGCTTTTCCAACCAGCTAAAGCCCTTATCTTAAATCCAAGCAAAGTACCATTAATCTTTTTGAAAGACCTTTTATGGCTTTTAATATATCCCAAATTAGAACATTTTACACCCTTGGTTCCTGAAATATGGTGATAAAAAGCCTTTAGAGCTTAATTTTCCTTACTGCATGCTCTGACCAATTTGCAGTTCTTTGTGATAATGTTTAGACACCTTAATTAAAATGCAGCAAAATATTGGATGTTCTATATGGAAAATGCTGATACTTTGGCTATACATACAAGAAATTTTGTATATATTTTTATTCATTTAAAAAAATTTATTTCCACATTGTGTTGCTATAGTTATCTGATGACCCAAAACAATTTTTTAAATATGAAACCATTGACCAAGCTTTTGTGATGTTTACGTTGGGCATGAAGATGCATTTTTCTTTTTATAGAAGGGAAAGGGAGATTCTTGTCGGCCTTTTTATTTGTTTGTAATACTGCAACTCAGCACGATATTCTTTTTTATTCTGGAACCAGTCAAGGTTAGTCATCTTGACTGGGAAACTGTGTTTCCTCTCAATTGCCGCTTTCTTAGAAGGTCTTATTATCCTTTGATATTTTCAGGTATTTTTTTTCTCCACAGAAATAAGTGAGACACATTCATTTTAATTATACAAAGGGCACAAAAAGACTATGAGTTTTCATCGTCATTACAAGCTAAAAGATTTCTTTCTGTAGAAAATACACAGACCAGGTTTGTTTAGTGTTTTATCAGCTGAAGAACATTTTATTTAACCTAAGCCAAGGTAAAATACAGTTAGAAAATATACCTTTTATAGGATCAGGTCTGTTTGAAAGTGTTGGCCTATGTACCTAGTCGTTTATTATAGTTATTAAGTTCACAAAATGATGGAGCCCTCTCATGTAAATAGCTGTTTAATATGTTCTAATGAATTCTTTTTAACAAGCATATGCTGTATTAAGGAACATGTACTCTAAATCTTTACTGTGATGCTGGTTGTGCTGGATTTGGCCTTAGCATTGCTAGAGCGCTAAAAGCTTTTACATTCTTAAGAGTACATGACCATGTCAAGGTGAAGAGTCTATTGAAGTCAAATGACGGCGTGCCCAGTCATAGGGAGCTGCTCTTTGGCTTCTTTAGGACAGCCATGTTGGGAAATTCCAGTGAGAAAAATGTAAGCTATGTCTTAATTGACAACAGTTTTAGAAAATAATTTTCTCACATTGTTACTAGTACATGGTAAATATGGTTCAGATCATTTTTGTTTCTTACTCTCACAGTATAGTCTCAGTTTAAATTAAGGTAACCTAGCTGAGTGGGCCATTTTTGGTGGGTGGTTTTGGCAAAACTGAATTTGCATTTGATGGAACACATAGGAATGGAGTTAATGGAGAAATGTGGATTTTTCTGTTTTACCTTTTGGCAGTGGGGAACAGGAAAGAGACTAAATTGTGCACTTGAATGTGGAGAGACCTATATGTATCTTAAACACAAGTAGCCAGCTATGACTTACAGCAGATGATAGTTTATTAGGTATATTTACTGCTCCCTTCATAGCCTGCTGTACCTCCACATTTCCCAGCCCCCTTGTATTTAGTTGGAGCCATGTGAGTAGTTCTGACCAGTGGGCTGTGAGCAGAAATGATTTGTGTCACCACTGAACTAAAGCATCAAAGAGCCATTGTGAGGCCCTCCAGCTCTTGTTCCACCATAATAATCCTGAAAGCTACATGTTGAGATACTGGCATCATAAGTTAGAGGAAAGCCCTGCCCATCCACAGGGACTTAAGGTGAAACAAGAAATAAAAGTTAGTTAGTGAGATTTGGGGATTTGTTGGATACTGTAAGATTGACTAGCCTTACTAGTTGACAGGTGTTAACTTGATTTTTTTTTACATGTATAACAAGTGGATAGTTTTTCAGTGGATAGAAATTTCATCTTAATGATAAATTATGCCACAGCTTCCTTCCAGAGTTTCATTTTCTCCTGGGATGATGACGATACAGCCTTTTGATTCTTAACCTTTTTTATTTGGTTGACTTATGTGAACTTTTCTACAATAAAGAGCTGAAAAGAACCAAAAGAACAAAGCCAGCACTGAACAGTCAGATGTAACTGCCAACTCCTTTTCCCCAGACTCACGGTTTGAAAACAGCCTTTTTTGTTCAATGCTGTATCTCCAGCACCTAGAACAGTGCCTGGAAAATTATGCATGTATGCCTTCACAAAATTTGTTGAATGCATGTTTCCCTTTTGAAAGAGGAGCACAACAGTATTGCTGCTAAATATGGGTTTGAGTTTTGAGAAGACACTGAGGCTGGTCTGCTTTAAAATGAATCATCCTTTCTTCATCACCTTTCCTGTTGATGTTGACCAATTTGGCACTGTAGTTCAATTATTAGCTTTCATCCATTTGTTTATGTTCTTTATATATATTCTTTACTGAAAAATCAAATCTATTTTTGCTCTCATTTATAAACTCCACACAGTCCTTGATTACTACTTGTCGATTTCATCCTAAAGGAAGCTGAAAGACATGTCAAGCATGCCACACTTTGCTCTTCTAAGTTTTCCTCTTTCCTGACACATGTGCTCTTAACCTCCTGCCATGCCTTACTATTGGCAAGCAGGTCCCTAGGACTTAGGCTTTAATCTGTTGACTTTAGAGTGGCTTCTAGGTCATTTCTTCTTTTTCACATGTCCACTAATATGCATCAGATTGAGTACAAGGGATAGAAAATGCAAGAAACACCGAAAGAGGTACTTAGTTTTTGTTGTTTAACCTGGGTTCTTAATGGATACTCTTCAGGCATCCTCATTGGTGGACATTTTAAAAATAAGAGCACACTAAAAGTAGAAGATGTCATCATGCTTATCTTAGAGATACTTGCTGGGGAACAGCTCTGCAGCCAGAGAGCTTTGTAGAGCAGAGTGTATAACTGTACACTGAATGGCTGGAGAAATACAGAAACAAGGCCTGTTTTAGGTTGAGTTGAAGAAGACTTCTGGGATGAGGGGATTTCACTGTGAATGGACCTTACAGGACTGGCAGATGTGTGTAAGGGGGCACACATAGAGGGCCCTGCACAGTGGACACTTAAGTACTGTGGTCCTGGTGCCCAGCCTTTTCAACTTAGCACCCCTGATATTCTTTCTTCTATCAGTGAATTGAAAGCTGTTGCCCATCATACCAATGCATTTATGAAGTAGTAATTAGCTTTCCCATGTTTTATTAATCACATCTGTGACTGCCAATCAGAGCTTCTGATCAGGATGAGATAACTGGTGTGACCATACTGAGTTGCTGTAATTCTAGCCCAGAGCAAAGAAACTTGATGTCTCTGTCAGTGTCTGCAGCCTTATCAGGGGTAAATTCCTGTTCGGCCTGCTGCAATGCTGAAATAGCTTGAAGATCCTCATTACTACCTTTGTGGACCCTCGAGGGGCCTCAGTTTGAGAAGGATTTCCATCCAGGAGACTGGTATAACTAGGGTAAAGGGTCTATTGGTAGTCAAGGGAGATACGGGTCATATCTATGTATTCATTATACTTTGTTTGAGGGGGATGAATGTAGAATTTCTGATTTCTAGACATGGCTTTCTTATCCACAAGTTCTCAATTGTTTATATAAATATAATTATTGTATTAGCTGGAATATTTATTTTCACTTTTTTTTTTCTTTTTTTCTCCTTTGTAATTCTTAGCTTGGTGTCAAAATTGCCAAAGCAGTTGCCTGCCACAACTTTGTAAAAGCCAAAAAGGAGGTTGAAAATTCACAGGCTGCCCGAAAAAAGAAGAAACTCGCATGGGGGTGAGTTTACTTAATATTTTTAGTAGTAGTTCTTCTGACTTCATAGAAATTGTGGAAATCCTGCTAATATATTTTGTGATCTAGTTTGTGTATAACTGTTACTCATTTTACTTTTTTTTGTCTTTGTTGAATATTTATCAGATTATAAATATGGAGGCATTTCTTCATGCTGTTTAATGTTTATTTTGTAATCATTGGAGTATGTGAAAAATTTTTGTTTTGCTTTGGTCTCTAAGTAAACATGTTCAGCAAAGTTTTTTTTTTTTTTTTAAGAAATAAATTGAGATTTTTATGTTCTTCATTTTAGATTTGAAGCAAAGAAGAGATGGGAAACCAAAAGCAACATGGGATATATGTAACTTGCCAGAGTGCTTCAAGACATTTGTACTCAAATGCTCAATTTACTGAGAACATTTTCCTGCTTATGTTAAATATGTCAGAAAATTGATAGAACTAGAACACAAATAAGCATAAAATTTGGGATTTTGATTATCAGCTCTTTTCAATCTTTCTCTAAGGACTTTGTCATATTGCAGTGAATAAAATGAAGCATTCTGTTATTTATATAAGAAATGTAAGAAAAAATATAGAAAGGAAAGGATAGGATTTTGTTTATTTATTTGTATGGACCCACAGTATAAAATCAGTTTTGCTGCTTTTCATTCATTTGGTTTAGTATAGCCAGTGAGCTTCTCATACTTTCTTCTTATTTTGAGACAGTCTCACTCGCTCTGTCATCTAGGCTAGAGTACGGTAGCTTGATCTTGGCTCACTGCAACTACTGCCTACGGGTTCAAGTGAGTCTCATGTCTCAGCCTCCTGAGTAGCTGGGATTACGAGTGAACGCCACTACGCCCAACTGATTTCTTTTTGTATTTTTAGTAGAGATGGGGTTTTGCCATGTTGGTTAGGCTGGTCTTCGTCTCCTGGCTGACCTCATATGATCCACCTGCCTCGGCCTCCCAAAGTGTTGGGATTACAGGCATGAGCGACCATGCCGGCCTTGTATTTTCTTATCTGTACGCAGTGTAACTACATGTTTACTGGAACTGTGTTTTTAAGATTGACAATTGTTTATAATGGATTAGTCTAAATGCCAAAAAGTCTCAGTTGATACTATCTTTACAAATGACTTGACCTTAATGTTATAAAAGTAGTTACTGATTTTTTATTGGAGGCAGACTTGATATTTCAGAATTGTATAGTAAAAGCAATTTATTAATTTTGGTGTACTTTCAGATAAACTTACAATAAAGAAAGGGCCAAATGTAGTATTTGGAAGATGACTTAAATTCAACAATGCCTAAAAATTTCTTCCTAAGTATCTTTCTTAGCCATGTCATTCTTTAAATTATGAAATGGTTCTTAATGGTGTAAGTGTATTAGACAATTATAACTCCAGATAATATAACTCTGAACGTTCTAAGAACTGGTTTGTTTTGGTTTTCCTCCCATTCCCCATTCCTCCTTAAAAGATTGAATGAATTAATGAGCAGAAAGAAAGGATTGGTAACATGGGAAGTTGTTTTCATTAGATGTGCATTTCCTGATTCTAACAGGAAAGGGGCTCAGGGAAATCATAAAACAAGTGGGCGAACAAGACCAGAATTGGGTGTGTTGGCACCTCCCTGCTCAGTGCCCGGCAGAGGTAAAGAACCACTCAACTTGGTTTTTTTCTCTTTGGTCTTTGTCAGAGGTTTCCTGGCTGTCTGCTATAAACTTTCTCTCGGTTGATAATATAAATTCAGAAACATATAAAATGAATCATGATTATAATTATATAATTGTTATTTTTAGACTTAAAATAGTAACACATTTTTTTTTTTTAATTTATGGTGGCACATTTGAAGTTTTTTTTCCTATGTTCTGGAATAAAAGAATGCCTAGCTCATATTTAAGCGTCAAGAAATCATATCTTACTTTCATTTAGTTGAGAAAAGCCAGCATAGAGAAAGCAACATTTTAGAAGACTATGTGTCATATTAATTCGGTATCCAGACCAAATGTTGGAAAATCTTGTTTTATGATTTAATATCCCTTGTTCCATTTTACAGATACGATCAGATAAAACTCACCTACAATATTCATTTCAAACTGCTAATAGGTAAATATAGACTTTTAGTGTAGAAACCTTTCCTCTAAAAATCTATTAAGGGGGAAATATTCACTATACAATCCAGTGGTTTTGTCTGAAATCCTAAAAATATTATTTTTGAGCAGGTGAGTAGTATAGATATTCTCACACATGGGGCCCCAATACGGGCATTTCCCTTTGACTTGTGTCTCTTTTTCCTCTCTCTGTTTCTATGCCATAGAGCATTTAGTGACCCCTGCAGGCATATTGCACTTCCCATACTGAGGCCTTGCCAGAGTGGCCTCCTGTAGGCTGACTCTCCAGCCATGGAAGCCCTTCTTCAGCTTCCTGCAGTGCCCACAGTTGGCCCCTCAGCGCCCCCTCGGGGTTCTCATGTAGATGGGAACATTTTAACTCAGTGGAAGGCAGGTATTGCTGCAAAATTAAGTGTAGTGGGGGCTTATTTAATAAGGGAAGCCACGTCTCCCAAGTTGTCACTCTTTTCGGGGCATGGGTTGTGGAAAGCTCTAAAACATGATGTATAGCTGGAGAAGGGGTTGGAGGGAAGGATGTGTGAGGACAGGTTGTTGTCGGTTGGACCTGCCGACATGTCATTTGAGAGCAGTTTTATTTGATCCTTTCTAGTAGGAATTAGGCATTTTACTCATAGGAACATTATTCCTAGAGTACACGTGCTGCTCAAAGGATGTAGTTACTTGTCCACTCCATTCTAGTCACAGAAAAATAAGAATTCTTTTTGGATCCCCAGTAATAACTTTGGTTCCTAAAGCTTCAGCATGTGCATTTTCTACCACCAGAATACCTGAGTTAGATCAGTAATGTAAATGTCAGTTATTGTTAACTGAAATTAACATGTTTCAGGCCATTGGTATGGCATTAATGTAACTATGATTTACTGTTTAAGTACTTTAGGCTAAAACAACTTACTAAAGAATGGCAATTTTGAGCTTACAGTACCAGTTCTGAGAAGTGAAGTTGGCAGTGCATTCTTGTTTGGGTGCCCTGAGGATGTTTCTGATTTTCAGCAGAGCGTTCTCTGTCTTTCACCAAAAGGAGAGTTTGAATATGTAATCTTAGGTTTGCTATAATTAGTTCTGATGACAGAATTGAATACCTCAGCCAAGACTGTAAATCAGTACGTAAACAGGTTTCTGCAACTGATCATAAATCTCAAACTCCATATTTTAAACACACTTATTTTTTTAGGCTGACAGATAAGGGAGCAGCAGGCTAACAATAGGAATAAAATGTTATCTGAATAAGTCACAATGTAGAACTCACATTAAAGTTTTCTGATTTTCTTTATACCTTTTGTCTAAAGTATTATCTTTTAACTATTAGCTTATTAATAACTTAAATAAGGCAAGTTTGAATTCTCAGAAAATGAAGATACAATTTATAAAATGTCCACATTTTTGGTAAGACATTACTTTTTAAGCAATGTATGTCTTGGTAAATATAAAACATATTGTATGAGGTTGTTGTTTATACAAAGTGAGAGTTGTACATTGTTTTTTAAGAGATGACAAAGTGAGGAGGCAAGGCGATGTTATGTCAGATCTCATTTTGAAGTTAGTGAAACCTAGTCTAATCCAGAACCAACTGAATCCAAGTTTTCCATTTTGGCAGAAGTTGTTTTTATTTTTAGTATCTGGCAGAGCAACAAATGCTTTGCATGTCAATTTAATATTTTTCCTGCCAACTGTTTATTCATTGGCTTAAAATTTACACTCTACTAAAGTCTTAGCTCTGACTTTCATGAAACAAATAGTAATATTTGGACAAAATATGTACATGAAAATCTTTTTCCAGAACCAAATGTAGATTGGTATTTGTGACATCAATGGCTTCTAGCATGGTGACAGATCTGAAAATACACTGAAAAGTGAAAGGCCAAACCCACTGCAGTACATCTCAAGTGATTTTTATTATGAGGTAATCAGAGATCTGGGTTTTCAGATTTAAGTTAGTGGGTGACTTTATGCTAGAAAGTAGAATATGTGTTAGAATAAGTTTACCAATATATATTTGTTCTTGGCCTTTCTAGGAGGATACTGAGACAATAAGATCCATTTTTCATTTTTGAGGTTGGGGCACTGTAGATTTTGATAACATGTGCGGAACTGCATTCTTTATTATTTTATCCTCCCTCCACACTGCTTGCCTTAAAAGAAAAAAAAACCTACACACATTTCCTAGTGTTACTGCTGTAATCAGCATAGACTTCCTGGGAAGTGATTCTTGCCTTCAGTAAAGGGCACGGCAGCATGTGGCCGATGGAGATTGCCATGAGGAAACTTGGAAAGGCATCGAACCATTTTGTGCTAGTGTTAAAGTGAAGTGTGTTGTCTCTTCAGTATCTCCACCTCCTCCATTGTGAGTATTCTGGAGGTGTCTGTTCACTTTCCCAGAATTTCTTCAAATACAGCGATGCTTCAGAGTAGCTTCTTGCCACATTAGCTTTCTTAATCTGAATCCCTGGAACACAGCTATAGGCTTCTGGGGGATAGGTTATTAAATGCCATGCAGTGTATTATGTTTTTAGATGTGCATGTAAAATTAAGAATTAGCTAAGGAATAATTATCTTTTTATTATTATTATTATTAGTAGTAACATTTTTAGATTCAAGTAAAGTTTGTTTTCCAAGCAAGATGACATTTTTAAGAAATTGAATTTAAGTATGTGCTTTTATATCTAGACCAGGTTTCTCAAGGAAACAGAATACAAGGGAGTGAAAGGGGAAGGGAGGGTAGTGCCCAAGAGCTGCCTCGGCTCCTAAGTGCTCCCCTGCCAGGTTTCCCCCATGCCTACCCACTGGCACCGTCCTGGCAGCTCCAGCCCACACCTCCTCCTGGGCCCTGGGCTGCCTCTTGCTGAACAGCTGCAGGGGGCCTGCTATGTGACGGGAATGGAATGAGGTCATCTTTTTCCACCTCTAATTTCTGAAGGGTGTGTCTGTCCAGTTTTTACTTGTTCATTGAACTTAAAGCCTTAGAAACCAACAGCTACAGTACAAGCTGTAATTATTGATATCTGTTTCATATTCATCTGTAAGTTCTGGCATTTGATCAAGAAGTTAATATATCACTTCATCTTCAGGCTGAATGTGTCTCAGCTATAAAGGTTTTATTGTTCGATGGATAGCATACAATTATGACTGCCGACAATAAAAAGTGTTTTCATTTGTAAGATGGGTGATACTAGAAGCAATTATGAATGTCACAAGGAATAGTGAAACAATGAAGCTTTGCGTTTCTTTGAATTTCTCTTTACATAATGCCGGAGGAACATTTGCTGAATGCCTACTATATGTCAGATAAACTAACTCTTACAGATGCAAAGATGAATAAGCTCAATCTGATAGAAAATATATGTAAACCATGTTTTAAACAACTCGATTTTCAGGTGGGCTATTAGAAAATCAGTGAGTTTTTCTTTGCCAAATACAAAGAAATATCTACATATAAGAAGTAACCTAGACTTAAAAATTTTAGTTACCTGAGTATATACTTATTGTACAGGTTGCTGAATTTCCTAGCTAGGCAGTCAGCTACAGTTGCTCACCAGCTTAGCAACTGATCCGTACGTGCCCACATCAGATTGAGTGGGATTGTCCCCCTGCCTGTCTCTCCTGGAGGTGATGAGCATTGGTGGGGTTTGACTCACGAATGAATGCACTTACTTGTTCTGCACACTGTACTCAGTGATTTTAAGCTTAGAGTTTTCTTAGACTGCATCAACATGTCCTTGATTTTAGCTTGGCGGGGTCACAGTGCCTGCCCATGTTAATGTAATGCTTGCTACTACTATAGATGTGCCCCTCCAAATAAAATGACTCAAGCACAGTACATTTCTTGTTCGTGGGACAAAGAGGGTGCTGCTTGCTATCAACAGGGGCTCTGCCCTGGGCTGTCATTAAGAGACTCAGTCTGACAGCGACTCACCACCTTCTTTCCCTAGTAATCCTAGGTGTCCCCATGCCAGTCAGCTGGAAGGGAAAAGAGCATGGAAGAGCACTGGTGGGAAGTTATGGGCCTGGCCTGAAAGTGGAATACATTAGTTCTCACTTTGCACTGGCTCAGACTTCCTTCCTTCATCACACCTAACCACAAGGGAGGCTGGAGAATGTACACTGAGAGAAAAGAAAATAAATTTTAGTAAATAGCTCACAGTAACTGTCACATATGATAAAGTAGTAACTTTACATTTTGCCGACATTGAGTAACACAAACTCCTATTTGTGATTTGATGGAGTCATTTTTACTTGGGTGTGTTGACAGAGCTGAGTCAAAGTAGCCACTCATACTACCCTGTAGTGGGTGCGGTGTCACTGTGTGATACCTGCTGGAAGAGCATTGCATGTTCAGTCAGTGAGGCAAAGGCAGTGCTAAGGATGTCATAAAGCACTGCTGGGCCTTTACCAGGTAGGCAAATAGAAGCAAGTGCATCCTAGGTAGAAGGAACAACGTGACGTATTTGAGGCACAGCAGGGACTTAGCAGGGGCTGGGGGAGAGAAGGACAGCAGGGAAGTGGAGCAGCAGAAAGAGGTGGTGCTGAAAAGGGCTGTCCAGAACAACTCATAACTTGGAGTGATGCCAGGGAGATTGGACTTGTGTGGGGAGAGTTGGGTGTTTATGGATGGTGATGTGGGATGAGGAAGGTAGTTGGCAGGCTTTTAAGAGTAATATTATCTTAGTAATTTGGTAATATTGAGTTATACATTTAGTATTTAGTAAAGTAAGTCATATTTATACTTGTGTGTCACCATACCTGTGGAATGTCATGGAAATGTCAAATGGGCAATTGTATGTAGCAATCTGAAGATCAGAAGAGAGGGAGGTTGCAGAGACAGGTTGAGGAAAGAGGTCTTAAAAGGTGGCATGTCAATAGAGCAAATGCCACTGAGCTATCAGGCAAGATAATGGTGGAAAGGTGGCTGTTGGAATTAGTGTCAGATGGCACCGGTGATCTTGGCCAAATCAGACATCCAGACCAGAATTGCAGTAGATGGTACAATTGCAATCTTAGGTCAAATTTCCTAGAAATGGTGCCTCAGATCGCTTGTGGAGGTGATTTATAAAAGTATGCACTACAGGAAACATTTGTAAGGGAGGGAGCAAAGACAATGAGGAAGGGGAATAGCTGAATGGGGTAAAGCCTTGGCCTTGTGCTGGGGGGAGGGCTCTGTGAACTCTGGCAAAGGAGCTAGATGTCTTTTTTTTTTCTTTTTTTGGAGATGGAATCTCGCTCTGTCACCAGGCTGGAGTGCAGTGGTGCGATCTCAGCTCACTGCAACCTCCACTTACTGGGTTCAAGCGATTCATCTGCCTCAGCCTCTCGAGTAGCTGGGACTACAGGTGCATGCCACCACACACAGCTAATTTGCGTATGTTTACTAGAGACAGGGCTTCACCATGTTGGCCAGGATGGTCTCCATCTCTTGACCTTGTGATCCTCCTGCCTCAGCCTCCCAAAGTGCTGGAATTACAGGTGTAAACCACCGTGCCCGGCCAGAGCTGGCTTTTAAACCCTGTATTAGTCAGTCAGTCAGTGCCTGCACTGCAGTGTAGACCAGCATTTTACATGGGATGAAAGGAAGGAAGGAAGGAAGGAAGGATGGATGGATGGATGGATGGATGGATGGGATGGAGGATACATACCTGGTCCTTCCAGTTAAACTATTTAATAAATAGTCATGACTGAGAACATAAGCCTTGGAACTACTGTTACTGTTGTGTAAATTGTTTATAACACTTTGAGGATTCACTGTTATATATGCTCCTTGCCTTGAAGGGACATCTTGGCTCTACATACATATAAATGTCTACCAGATTGAAAATCTAAAATTCTTTCATTACTGTTTCCACACAGTGCTCTTGCACTTTCCTCTAAGAAAGCCAAACACACATTATACTTGTTTTATAGATGAGGAAATCAAGGTTCTGGGAAGTTTAAGAGAACTCTCCAGCCATTCATCTAGCATAAAAGGGCTAACATTAGAACCCAGGCTAGTCCTTTGCCTCTTCCCCCAATTCCAGTAGTTCTTGAAGTGTAATCCATGCCCACCTGCAAGCAGAATCACTTGTTGAAAATGTAAACTCCAGGGTTCCTCTCTGGGGCCAGAGCCTGGGATTCCACACTTTAAAATGCTCCTCTGTAAGTAGTGCGTACAAAGAAGACTCATTGTCTTGGAGCAACACCGGCTTCTTACACGGGGAGTCTGGGATGGGGAAGAGGAAATACGCAAGCCAGTACAACTTGCACATGTCTTATCACAAACCATAGGGTGTGCCAATGGGTATAAATACTGAGTCTAATGCCATTAACATAAATGCTCATATTCCCAAACAGGCTGCCTGTACTAGTACAGCACCTCCATTTTCCAAAAAAAGGCAAAGATTCCGTGTCAAAGAACTCAGTTGGAATCCTTGCTTGGTACTTGCTTCCTTGCCAACAGTGCTCAAAAAGAAAAAAAGAAAATCCAAAGTACATGTACATAAAAGTTCCATTCCCAACGGTGGAGGGCTTAATTAAAGTCCTCAGATGTTTCTATGCACCTTGGAAAGCATTTTTATGAAATTCATGTATTACTAGAATTGGCTCCAACAATTCCTGCAGTTAAAAACCTTGTAACTCATGCAGCTTTGTTAGGAGCAAGCTGCCTTTTTCAAGATTTGGTGTCCTGCTTCCTTTACCTCTGTAGCCTGTGGCAATGAGGGCGGCTCAAAGGCCTTCAACTGCCAAGATGGCACTAGAGGATTTTCCAAGGTTAAGGTCAGATAACAGAATCTGGAAGAAATGGATCCGTCTTCCTACATTTCCTTTTCTCATTATTTCAATCATAGGCATCGAAGGCTTGGGATGTGCCTGGCACTCTAGCAGGCTCTGAGGATGACAAGCTGAACAGAGCACCTGGATCTTCATGAAGCTCACATGCTAGAGGGAAAGATGTAATAAGCAGACTCTGCAATACCACATGACCTTTCAAGGGAGGTCCTGGCCAGCAACATCACCTGGGAAATGTAGAAATGCAAGTGCTGGGGCACCAGGCCAGATGTGAACTAAACTGTGGTAGCAAGACCTTGTGTCTTCTGATGGACATTCAAGTGTGAGAACCACTGGGCTACATGGTGATAAACTATGGAGAAAAAGAGAGGGCCCAGACAGGTGTGTTGCTGATGCCAGCAAATGTTAAAATAGTGAAGCTATTACACCCTGGAATATGAAGCAAGCCAGATTTTAATCCCAGCTCTGCCACTTACAGGATGTGTAACTGCAGGCAGGCTGCTTAATCTTTCTGTACCTTGGGTTCTCCTTCTGAGAAATGGAGATAATAATAGTAGCTATCTGATCAGGATGTGAGGATTAAAGGAACTAATGAATATGAAGGTGCTTAGAATAGATTCTCACACATAGCAAACAATATACTTGTTGGAAGACAATTCTCTGGACAATTCTTGCGTTTCTGCACATCTTACAAGCAAGGCACCAAGTACCCTTTTGTTCCAAACCATCTTTGCAAGGATGTTTGTATATAACATCCTTGAAAGATCGAGATAATGTCTCACTCTAGAGCAAAGAACAGACATGCTTATTCCCATTACAAAATATTCGGTTTCTTAAGCTCGGAGTCCCTGTTCTTGAATGGAAGCCATATAGTTTACAAGGGTCTTCTGGCCCTCTTACTGTCATAGGAATCAATGCAAAAATGCTGATGGCTATTTCTATTGTTGTGAGTAAATGTCTGAACCAGGAGTCTAGTGTCTTCTACTAACATTCGTAAAACTGGCAGACTGACTTGCTAACTTGCAAGTAGAGTGAAATCTCAGACCCTTCATAGTTGTTGACAATGCTGTGAAAGTGTGTAAGTGTTTGTTAGTATTACTGTCATTATTCCTCCACACTACATGCCAATCTTCCAGAATAAACAAAAACGTAACTGATGGTCCCAGCCTTCAAAGAATTCCCAAGTGAGCCAAGGAGGTTAAATATCTATGCAAAGATGACACAAAAGACATACAGTAGCAGGGAAGCACAGGCTTTGGAATAAAACTTGGTTTGAATGTAGGTTGTGGATGTTTGCCAGCTATGGCAACTCTCTAAGCCTCAATTTCTATTTGTAAAGTGCTATTGCTAATAATGCTTACTTTGTGAGGTTGTGAACATGAAGCTAGTGCACAGAGTTTAG